ACACGTTTGTGGGACAATCTTGTGGGACACTCTTGAAGGACACTCTTCTGAAACACTCTTGTAGGACAGTCTTCTGGAACACTCTTGTGGGACACTCTTGTAGGACACTCTTGCAGGAAACTCTTGTGGGGTACTCTTGTAGGGCACTCTTAAGGGACTCTTGTGAGACACTCTTGTGAGACACTCTTGTGGGACGCTCTTATGGGACACTCTTGTGGGACACTCTTGCGGGACACTCTTGTGGGACACTCTTGTGGGTCACTTGCAGGACACTCTTGTGGGACTCTCTTGCAGGACACTCTTGTAGACACTCTTGTAGGACACGCTTCTGGGACACTCTTGTGGGTCACTCTTACACGACACTCTTGTAGGACACTCCTTGTGGGACACTCTCATAGGACACTCTTGTGGGTCACTCTTGTCGGACATTCTTGTGGGACACTCTTATAGGACACTCTTGTGGGTCACTCTTATGGGACACTCTTGTCGGACATTCTTGTGGGACACTCTTGTGAGACACTCTTGCAGGACACTCTTGTGGGGCACTCTTGTGGGGCACTCTTGTAGGACATTCTTGTAGGACACTCTTGTGGGACAATTTTGTGGGACACTCTTGTGGGACACTCTGGTGTGACACTCTTGTAGGAAACTCTTGTGGGACACTCTTGTGGGACACTCTTGTGGGACACTCTTGTAGGAAACTCTTGTGGGACACTCTTGTAGGACACTCTTGTGGGACACTCTTATAGGACACTCTTGTGGGACACTCTTGTGGGACACTCTTGTAGGACACTCTTGTAGGACACTCTTGTGGGACACTCTTGTGGGACACTCTTGTGGGACACTCTTGTGGGACACTCTTGTGGGACACTCTTGTAGGACACTCTTGTGGGACACTCTTGTGTGACACTCTTGTAGGAAACTCTTATGGGACACTCTTGTAGGACACTCTTGTGGGACACTCTTATAGGACACTCTTGTGGGACACTCTTCTGGGACACTCTTGTAGGACCACTCTTGTGGGACACTCTTGTGGCTGTGGGACACTCTTGTAGGACACTCGTGTGGGACACTCTTGTGGCACACTAGAAGCAGTCCTGCGAGCGTTTCGTACGAGACGTCCTCCAAAAGTCACGCTTCGAGGCTGCACAAGACGAGCGTTTCGTTCGAGACTTTCTCCAAAAGTCACGCGTCAAGTCTCCAAAACGAGCGCTTCGTACGAGACTTCCTGCAAAAGTCACACGTCAAGTCTCCAAAACGAGCGTTTCGTGCGAGACTTCCTCCAAAAGTCACGTGTCAAGTCTCCAAAACGAGCGTTTCGTAGGAGACTTCCTCCAAAACGCACATGTCAAAGTCTGCAAAACGAGGATTTCGTGCGAGAAAAGTCAAGCGGAAACACCCATCGGAGCACACACACATCACGCAGCCCTGCCAAGCAGTTTCGCAAGTCCAGCCCCTCCAAACAATACCCGCTCACACGCCAATCCCAATGTGACAGCGACATTCACCTCTACCACAACTCACGACCTCACGATTCCCTGCGCCTGCCACGAATCTTTCCGCATCCACACGTCTAACGCGCACAAAGTACTGCGCCTGCCACGAAATGTCACCTCCGTCACACCTCGCAACCTCACGATTTCCTGCGCCTGCCACGAAAATCGCACTTCCACACCTCAAAATCAGCACAAAGTACTGTGCCTGCCACGAAAAGTGGAATATCATCTCACGTGAGCTTCAACAAAATTTGCACCACACCACACGTTTAGAATGATTTTGACCCGTTCTGAGCACACTCCCATCCATCAAAATCGCCATTTCAGCTGAGACTTGTCACGAAAACAGAGCTTCGATGCCACACCCTGAAACGCAAATCCCAATGGCACGGCCACATCCAACACCCCAAAAACACGACTCTCCAAACGCTAATCCCAATGGAACTGCGCAGTAAACTGCGGATCTCTCAAACCACTGCGCCTGTGCAGCGAAATGCATCACGCTTCTTGCGCGACATGTCATTTTCATGCAAATCACAATGGAATAGCGGCGCAAACTGACACGTGACACATCCATGAAAAGTCACTTGCAAAAGCTTCCCCCAATGGCAGCGCCTTAGCGTCCTACTGCGAACGGTTGCGGACGGTTGCGAACGGTTGCGAACGGTTGCGGACGGTTGCGAACATAGAAGCAACGGGTCGCGAACAAGGCTCTACCCCCAGACCCCCAAGAGTTAAACGAGAACCCTTCGCTACGCATTCGGGAAAATATGAAAAAATCCGTTCCTGGCAGTGTTCCAAGTCCAAACTCAACTTTCTCTCTCTCTCTCTCTGTCTGTCTGTCTGTCAGTTTGTCTGTCTGCCTGCCTCCCCTCTTGTGCGAGGCAATAATATACAATAAGCAACCCTGTGTGGCCAGTGTGATGCCTGGATCACTCTCTGGACAAAGTCCTGCAGCATCTCATTCCGGATTCTGCCTGCCGCTTGCATCAAATCCATGGCAAGAACCAGGCCCACATGGGATTTTATGTGGAAACGCCGCATTTGGTTGGTGGTTTGGTAGGGGGTCGACACAGGGGCTACATTGGATTGTGATGAATTGTGTAAGATTTGGTCCTCAAGCAAGCCCTCCCCATCACTTTCAACCCCTTTGGATTTGTTGAGCACATCCAGCCATGCAGGATGTCCAGCCTGCGCTCTCGCCATAGCCATATGAGAAGGATGGCCTCCGATCGATGGTGGCTTTTTCACTTTCTACACTGGCATTTGGCTTGCATCTATGGTTCACCCTACACAACCACCGCAACACTCCATGGTGGTTTTGTTACTGAAGCAAATGTCGGTGTCTGGGAGACGCTTGCCGGGGTCAAACCTGGAAAACCGTGGCAGTCGGAAAAACATGGATGTTGTCTTCCCAAGACTGAGAGAAGTTAATTTGCTGTTAGGCCGCTTGGGGGTCATGTCTATATAATTGTCGTATACCATAATATTATGTGTGTACCAAATACAAGAACAAAAAGAACGGATGTATCCCTTCCCGTGTTTTTTTTGTCTCACCTTCCCACCCTCTTCAGACCGGTACGCCAAAGACCACGTTGGACCACGCGAAACTGCGTGGTCGAACCAGTTACACACGGTGCATGCTCTTCCAGCTGCACGGGTGACAAACGGTTTTTTCTTCAGCTCATAGCAGCTCCAAAAGGTCTATAGGTGTCCTTGCAAGTGACCATTCTGAGCCGAGCCGCGAAGCAGTGTCAGTGAAAAAAAGGTTCTAAAGAACATAGGAAACAACTACAGGTCCAAAGAAAAACATCAAAATGGATTTGTCTAAAGAAAGGAAGGTCCAAAAAAACAAGACACACCACAAACATATCTAAACTCTAACATGTAAAACGCAACAAACATCCTAGATCTGACAGAGAATGTCGATGCTCATTGGCCTACTTGTTCTAGACATGTTCCCCGGAAAGTGCACGTGTTGGTTGGTTCAAAGAGAAACTGTGAGAGACCTATCCAACATCTTAATGTCGACCGTCCCCTCTTCTCTCCGGAATTGAAACGGCCATGCCCACGACGACTGTGACTGCCGGGCTGACGGTGTTTGAGGTCGTTTGGAACAATTTTGTGGGTGCAAAAAAATCGCAAACAAGTCTAGCCTGAGTGGTAATGTTGTCAAAGACTATCAAAGTGGATCTTTGATCAGAACTACTCGACATCCTGACCCCCCACTAAGCCTTCAAATGCCGGAGTGAACACTTTATAAGGGGCTAATTATCAGGAAGATGCACCCCCTCCTAGCCCTCGCCACGAATAATCTCGGACAAGGTGCCTGATCCAGGACTTTGTTTCTTCGTATTTATTGATCTCACTATACAAATCTATACGTTTGTCCATGGGAAGGTCTTTTTCCTAAGCCAAACCAGGTCAACCCACTCGACAGCTCACTTGGCTGACCATGCACGTCTCTACCGCCCCCCGCCTTCGTGTCATCTCGACGCCATCCTCATCGTCCAGGGGTCGGGCCAGCCTGAGGACGGGCCACAGAGCTATGGGAAAACTGTGTTGCTACATGATGCTAACGCGCCACCACGATGTTTGCGGTGTTTCCAACACACCTGTGGACACATGTGGTAGTGATTGATGGCCATGTGTACACATTGATTTAGGTGGCTTGCGCGCACACACACACAAACACTGCAACAACTTGGCACTTGATTTTTGCAGGACTGTGACTGTTTGGTCTGTTGTCTGATGTCTGTTGTGTTACTTTTCTGCGGGTATTCCACATTGCCGTCCTTGCGGGAATGAAGGTCACGCAATGAATCATCCTCATGGATCATCATGGGGATCTGGGCCCAAATCGAAACATCATATTCTTATTCAACATCACCTGCTGTTTCTCATCCGAAAGGGAACGTTCCAAACTAGGGAAGCTCTCCAAATAAGGGAATCACTCCACGCCCAAACTAGTAACTATAGTAATATGCTGGGTCTGTGTGCTGAGGGAGTGATCAATTGAAGCAATGGCAAAGTATTGTTGCAGGAAATTGCTATATGTCCTGGATGTTGAGTCCACGTTGCATGATCACATGCACCGCTTCATGACAGGGTTCAGCAGCTTGTCCAGCTGCCTCTCACTAGGTCCACGACCCAGCTTGTCTGAGTAAGCCCACCATTCGCAGGAAGTCCTCGACCTCGGAAGCGCAATTCGCGCGTGGCATCGCAGGTGAGATCCACCGCCTGGCGATGCACCCGTGTTTTTGGCAATCCATGAAGCCCTTTCAAGTCAACACGGAAGCCCCACCCAAGGGCTGCCGTGTTGGTCACAGGCAGCGGAAATAGAAGTTGCCATGTGGGACACTTCTGCAATTGGATCGCAAACACTTTCCTGCCGACCTACAAATGGCTCACAACTTAGCCATCTGCAGCGATGCCCTTCAAGCTCTCCAGAAACCTCAGCATGGCTGATCAGCAGCGATTTTCCCAGCAAAGAATATGGAAACTGGATGAACAATTATGGAAGCCATATTTTCTCAAAGGAGACAGAACTGGTTTTGAGATGTTTTGAGACTTTTCACCAACCTAGAGAACACACGAGGATCAAATCGCAGCATGTGTTTTTGATTAATTTTGTCACCTTCCAACGTCCACTTACTTGAGCATAATGCACAAGATTCAGGTCCGATGCCAATTGGTGGCAGTCCATCTGGCCCTTCTCCTGCGTCCCATTTAGCCAACCCTGGACCGGTCAGCAGTGATCGAACCATCAATTATTGAGCCTGGAAACTGGCCAATCGCAAACCTGAGGTACGCTCCCTGAAGTATTCATGGAAGTGGATGGCATGGCCGCTTGGATGACCATTAGGTGGTCTTCAGTTGGTCCTCAAAATCTGACCCACTGCGGTTTGATTGGCCCACATGTTTCGATGTGTTCTGGTCTTGTTTTGATCGCGTGGTCCAACACATTGATGTCCCTCTCTCTCTCTTTCTTGGGTCCGTGCAGGGCTGGGCCTCCAGCAGTCACTAAGATGCCCACGACCTGCGATCCCGGTGGTTCCAGCCCTCGCTTCGGGCGAAAGTGGATCCTAGGCTTTTTCAGTCACTATCTTATAAGATCTTATAAGGAACCTGATGCTTCAGATAGTGCCGAATTCGATTCGTGTGTGCGCCTGCAAGTTATTTTGGACACCACCATGGGTGAGCCTCATGAGACATCGTCCAGAGTCCATTGAGCGAACGGGGCCATTGCAGGTGCAAGAGGAAGTGTCTGTGGCCTATCCGTGGCTCTCATCAACGCTCATCCGTGGCTCCGGGCGAGATCGGTACAAGCCATCACTCTGACCGGACTGGAGGTACAGCCCTAGAGTTCGCCTCTAGAACCGGACTCTTTGCAAGACTCACCACCTCGTTCTGGGCATAGGATCTCTCAACCTCCTTTTGGTCATGCTTTTGGGCGATGCTTTCGGGTGCGGATGCACCCGGCACGCGGCTTGTAGCGAGTTCCCCCCTCTGCCCAAAGCATACGGCCCGTGGGTTCGGACCTCGCCTCCTTCCATGCGGACACTGCACTGCTAAAGTCGCCTGAACTCGGGAAGCTCTGAAAGACCAAGGGAAAAAGGATACAGTGAATGGAGAGGTAGATGGCACAATCCCCAAAAGGCTTACACAGCAAAACATAAGGGTTTGTGCCATCTACCCTGAATCCACTCTAATCTACTGACAAAGGAGGGGTGCCTGCCATGGGAGCGTCCAAAACGTGCTTTTAAGGGGACATGATTCAGTCAGGTTGTCGCCTTTGTGGCGGACCTATTGCTTTAGCCAAATCCCGACCGCTCTTGTCCAAACTGGTCATCGTCCGTGTTGGCGAACAGCAACAAGTTGGCAGCACCATGTTTCACATGGGAATGCAATCAATTGCTTGGATTCACTTGATCTCACATGGGGAAATCCTCTACTGTACAGTACTTCGACGAACGACCGCCACCCCGCAGAACCGAAGAGGATCTGTGAGAGTTTCGAACAGGGAGCTCGGGTTCCCGGTCCCTGGTCCCGATCGGGTTGTCGGGCTTGAAGGACATGGACACAAATCACTGAGAAAAGGACAACAAGAAAAAACATGGATGGAATCGGCCATCTCACATAGGTCTCTTAAGACCAATCATCTGAGCTGATCCTCCAGGAGAATTTAAGACAATCTTAGTCTAAGACCCTGTCTTCTGAAGTCTACCTGCGTGTTGGATGTGTTGTAAACAAAAAATGTTCTTGACACACAAGATCTATCGCAGAACACACATCCTTTAAAGATCTTGTGAATCCCTGCACTTCTCTGTGGCCAAACAAAAATTGGATGAAGCGACTCAGAAGCGCTCATGCCAGTCTTTTGATTGATCGGTTTGCCGGGTCGCAATCTTCACTTGCCAGGAAACATATACACAACTCAAGACAAGAACCCAAGCATCGCAAGCACCCCCCCTTGGAAACTAAACAAAGTCTCCTGGCTTTCTGATTTACGCAGCAATTCCCACTGGCAAAAAGATCGATGTGTTGGTATACAACTAACAAGGCTGTGAGGCGGAAGATGACCACTTCAGGCGATGTGGAAGGGCGGAAAAAACAAACGGTGCAAACGTTGAATTTGATGCAAGGGTGTCCCTTCAGCTGGTCATCTTTAACAAAAGGCAGTCAAAACCGCGAGTTCCATTTCCCCTCATAGCTTGACCTCCCCGGTAGTCTGACTGTTCATTTTCTCAACCAAGGTCGTCCCCTGGTTCTGACCCATAGCAATACCTTTTTCATCACATCATCCGAGGCTCATGCCATCCAAACATCATCTTGGCATAGTCTTCATAATCTTCATGATCTGGGCCACCCCACGGCTGTTCATTGCCTCTTGTCCGGGCCTAATGGCCGCAGCCAGCGGTCGTTTGTCGCGAGCAAAACAACCATGCTCGCTCCGTTGCATCAAAAGGTATGCCCACAACAAACCCTGCTTCCTGCAAATGCCAAGAAAACCAGGAAGTGTCCTAAAGTTCCACTGAGACATAGACCAAAGATATCTAAAGATAATGTATATATATATAGTTACCTAATGTTATCAAATTCTCAAGAATCATAGTGTGCGTCCAAAGTGTCGTCGTTCAGGAAAAACACAACATATATGCAGCATGCAGCGTCATTGACCCGTGGGATGGTTTGGGTTCAGGTATAGCTGCCTGGAACCTGATTGACCTCTATTTTGAACCACCAAGCACCCAAAATATGGTCTTTTCATGTCTTTTCCTATCACAAAACAGGTCAAAAGTAGCTGCTTAGCTATGATATGCTTAGCTATGAGCATGCTATCCCAACAGACTGGGTGAACCGGATCACGAGTCCCAGCCACTTGCGGGTCAAACCGGCCGCGTTGAGTACATCGAGACCTGGGCGGTCGCTGTGACCCACGTGGATTGACAAGGTGTGCACCTAAGAAGGAAAATGATGTAACATGCATATATATATATATATATATATTATACATATTGTATATATATATACATACATACATATAGTTTGTTCATAGCTTTTCATGCCTTTACACCTTTTTCTGGATCTTGTAGGTGCAAAACAAATGCAAAAAGCAGCAGTGGCCATCAACGACCATGCCAACACTTGCAGATCATGCGCACAGTATCCAGGCAAAAAACATGCAATCCAAACGCTCCACCCCTTCAGCAGCAAAAGAACGTATAGCCGAGCAAATGTTGGTCTTTTGCAGCAGGAACCATTGCTGAAGAACCACTGCAAAAGAAGACCAAATCACTTTACAAACTTCACTGAAGATCCGGGTTTCTATTTATGAGGAACCCGTTCGTTCCTTGTGAAATGCTCTAATCATATCCCCCAGTCGTTCCTTGACCAAGAGCCATTCTTGCGGCGTAAAGAGACCGAGGCTGCGACATTCATCGAAGTGCTGAAGGTTGACGGCCTGCAATACGAGAAAATGTGCTAGGATCTTCAATTATCTTTAATGGTAGATCAATAATATGGGTGTGAATTGAACTAGGAGACCCCCAAAAAAGAACGCATCAAAAAGGAACACTAGGCTAGTCACTAGGTTGCAGGGCTACCAGTTGATCTGTCCTTGCATTGCATCATATGCGTGTGTTAATAGGGAAACGCTGCACCAATGGGTTGCTTCTTGATGTTCCTTCTTCCAGGAAGTCGAGACCAAAGGATTCCTCTACAGTAATACACTATATATCATGGCTGTTCGCAAGTTCGCAAAGGGATGTACTTTGTCCACCAAGCCACCCAACTGACTTCCCTGTATCAAAACGTGGAATTGAGCCAGGGACAGGGACATCCGTTCGCCTAAAATTCTGGAGGGCGGGCTTCCCGCCCTCCTTATTTCATTCGAATCTATATAAAACATGGTCTCTGCAAAAACATACAACAAACATCAACAAACAAGTTGAACTATGACCAAGGCAGAAGCAACGACCATCCTGAGCGGCATGCACTTTAAGCTTACAGCCACCCATCCCAAGAGATACCTGGTGGATGGCCCAGTCCGCCACGGATTCCCGTCCGACGCGCCTCCACCCGCTTGTTGAAATCTTCCGGTCCGCCAAAAGCATTCACCTCGTGGTGCAAATTTTAAGGCGTGGAAAGGTCGGCTGGTGCTTTTTCCTGTCCTCCCACAAAATGACCCCTATGCTTGTAAAGAGCTTTCACTGGGAGTCTTCAACCAGTGCAATTCCTTTGAGGAGGTCGAGCTGGCCGGGGTAATGTAGGCCTAGCCTACATACTATAATACAGGTACCTCTGGACTGAGGGAGTGGGTAGTTTCAAGTAGAAAGTATTCCCTGTCAAATTCCAGTGGTTATCCGGAGCCAATACGATGCGATGAGAATGCAGGAATTGTCCAAACCCTCCACCACAGGGCTCCACGCAATGGACACCAGGTGGCTCCAAGGCCTCGGAAAAACGCCAGGCACGATGAAAGACACGCTTGGCCAGGTCCAATCCGCCAAGTGAAACGCTTGGCCTTGTCCCATTATTTATATATATATATATATGTGATGCCGTAAAACACACTTGTTTTTTGTCAAAGCCAAGTCAAGAACGCAACAAACTTGTTTTTGTTCACGTCTCTTTTGAGGGTGAGCACCTACCACTTGGAGCCGTTGGAGATCACTTCTTGAAAGAAAACAATCGTAGGGATGGTTGCAAACAATCCAGGCCAAATGACTCTGGCACAAATGTCCTCCAACAACAACTCGATCAGAACAAGATTAACACGTTTATATAAAACAATTTAGTGTTGAAACACGTTGCCACACTAGACGATACTAGACGAAATTGTGCGAACTGTTTTCTTCCAAAAATGCCAAAGCAGCTGGCAACAAAAGTTTTATTCGTAAACACATGTCTGAAAACAATTGTCACCACTAACCCTAACGATCATTGGACCCTATTTGGGGATATTTTGGACCCTGAAAAACTTCACCGGCTGAGGTTCTCAGGGAATGAACAAATCTCGACTCGTCCACTCGTCAAGAAGACCTGGTGCCACCACAATTCGCAGGCGACACGACCGAAATGTCACGCTGTTCGTCCGTTCTTCCTGGGCGACCCAGACTCGAAATCGCTCTTGGGAGCGGAGGAGGTGCCTCGTCCGTGCAGGTGCAGGTGCCACAGAAACGAGGGGTCGGAGTGGTGGGGTTCGTTTTGGATTGCTGGATGACAAGTCTGAAGTCTGGGACCTTCCGGAAGACCCGACACTACTATACAATTATGGGTTTTCATTAGACACCCCGACAAGAAAGTCCAAGAAATCAGGAAGTCTAGCATTTCCCTTCAGTTGAGTATCTTAGATTTTGTTCCAAAAAAAATGACGAAGATGAAAGAACTGCGGAAACCAAGTGCACAACACTCAAACCCAACTGAGGCTAGTTCTTGGCCAAATGACTTGCGATGTCCAACCAAATTTTGCAACAAGTGAATCGTCGTCAATGAAGTATTGGTCAAAACATGCCACAATGTTCAGGAAACAACTGTTTCAACCGGCCTCTGCTGGACACAGGCAGGTAGCTCCGGAGACTTTAGTTTAACATATGCATTAATGGGAACTGTTCCCTTTGATGACGTTGAATTTTTCACGGTCCGCATCGTATTCACTTTGACGTATTCTATAGTATTTCCATCATAATGGGGATTTGGCAGCAGGCTCTGTGGTGCCCTCTGTATCACAGTGCTATATACCCCTGAGGAATCTTCTCAGCTTCAAGAACTGAGAAGAAAGACTGCTTCACGAACTGCTGCGTTTCGTCAGTAAATGCTCATCCAACTTCATCCCCGGATATTTTTTGGATCCAATAGCATCAAGCCGGGCTCGGATCGGAGGATGCGGAGGAGAAGGAGGAGGAGAAGGCGGAGGATGACCCTCGAGTGGCAGGTGGGGATTAACGGAACAGTCAGTATGTGTGGCAAAGGTAGCTCACAACTAAGGCACGCACGAAAGTCGCGAACGGTTCAACCAAAAAAGGGGAAGTTCCGACCCGACGCAAACCGGAGTGCACGGCAGGGTAGTCCCAGAAACTCCTGCAGGCCACAAGCCCCCGTGTCAGTCCATATAGGACTGCTTCTGGCATGCAGCCAGGCAGACCCACACGGCTACACCGTGGGGCGTAGCATCTGGATCAAAGCCAGGGAGGAGCCAGCCTATAGCTGGTCCTCAAAGACACGGCGCCGATCACCAGCCAAACGGCCGAACAGGCCCCATGTCGCTCAGCACCGGAACCCCTGTTTCGTCAAAGTGTCAAAGTTACGTTTATGATTGCCTTACACTACCCCAACCACCTCCATCCAGCCCCCCTTTCTGCACCCAAACGCCGAACCCAACTGCAGAGTAGCCGCACAGAACTGTGGACACCGTAGGGCCAGAAAGTACCAGTCAACAGCAAACCAAAAGCCAGCCCCCCCAACCACGACAGCAGCGCCCTGGCCACGATCGACTGCTGAACCCCACCAACCCAAGACTAAGGGAAGAAGCACCACTCCCGAAGGAGGGTGCCGCAACGTCCCAGTCTTGTTAACGGCCGATGAGGGTGCACGCGTCCCGCCCCCACCTGGGAGACACAACCTGACGGCAACCAACCAACCAGCATGGGGGCTCCAGACCCGTAGGACTGGAAGTTGGTTAGCCTTTGGCCACTCTCAGCCATCCAAGCCCCCCCAAGAAGGAACTTCCGGAGTTTCAGACTTCCATGCATTTGCGAAACAAGCCATAATTGCCTATACTTGTATATATGACCAAAGTTGCCCCATAGCCGCCCGCGAGGAGGGCTGCGCGCTTGGCTATGATAGGACCTCTTGCAGGGAATCATTCATCGATTCATCGTTCATCTATACCTTTCTAGGTCAAAGACTTCCCCTGGATTCAGCCATTGATTTATATAATGGGCTTTACCATTTTGCCCAGCAACCGTTGTTTTACTATTTTTTACCAAGGATTTTGGACTACAACACCAGGTCAACCAAACTCTTTTCATGGGTACAGGGGTTTTGGGCGCAACCCGTGTCTGTCAAACCAACCGGAACCGTCGTCGGAACGGAACCTCCAAGGCGTGGGAGCAACCTGGCCGCGTTAGGCTGGGCCAGGAGGAACTCCATCCGTTGAGTCGGGAAAGACATGGAATGTCTGGGGAACGTCTTGGGAATGACTTGGCCAGTGTATGCACTTCACGTCCTCAAGAGGAATCTCACAATGTCCATGTTCAGGAATGCCTTCCTGGATTGTTCTAGAAGACAACCGCATTCCTGAAGGCATTCCTGGTTTATGTCGAAGATGTTCTAGTTTAACGAGTGTATCTACTTTTGCTGGGTGACAATAACAAAGCTGTGGTGATCCTGTAGGTGATCCTGCAGGTGCCAAACATGTTGCAACATGATTGTTTGCTACGTTGCTGATGTTCTAGGCTCGTTTCAACTCAATTAGTTGTATGTTGTATTCAGGGAATGACCTAGTCCTTAATTCCGGCCCATGGCAGTTTGGCCGGAATGCGTGGCTCTCCCGCACAGAAACCGAACGAGCACCATGTATCTCCAAAGAACATGGCTGATTGATGTCAATTCGGCCTCAAGGAATACACAAAATGCCTGTCTCCTAGCGTGCTGGCACAATGAACCCCACATTTGGCACAATGCTCCACATTATTTAACCAATAGACAAATCACGTGTTCACGTGAGCCAGAGTCAGAACAATGTTCATCTGAAAGCTGGCAAGGTTCTACAGGGCGTTCTCGGATATTGGCCTTGTCTAGTTGGACATCCACTTCTGGTGCAAACGACACCGGTTTCAGTTTGTGAATGTAGAACCACTCCATCTCCAGGGCCCCCCTTTGGGTGTCTGATTGTATCTCAAAAAAGAGGTGATGAGGTGTCCAAAAACCCACCTGTTGGAAGGTCCTGGCATACTAATTGATGTGAACAAACAAACAAAGAAAAGCCATGAACCGATCATCGGTGGCTCGATGCCGCGCTCCAAAGCCTACCTCGCTTTGTCCAGTAGCTCGATGCCGCGCTCCAAGCGTTCCAGGCGGTCCACCTTCGGATGGGCCCACTGAAGGGACGAGGATGGATGGACGATCTGCGGATGGATGGACGATCTGCGGATGGATGTAGATGGATTTTTCTCCTAGCAAAGTCCATGCTTTCTTGAAGCCTACCACGAAATCTGCTAACCGGACATCTGAGTCGACTCACAAGCTGACCGAAGGAAGGAGGGGTGCTTCTTCAACTCGAGGGTCCCGTTGCCGGCCCTGGTCCCAAACAGGATTTTTGTTGTGACCTGAACATCCAGGGATCTCGGTGAGTCACTTAGGAGGCAGGACAATGCGGTTTTGGTTTGTCATAGGTTTCTCCAATCCTCAAAGGTGGGGGTGATTGAGTTATAGACCGCTTTTCGGCATTGATACAATCAAAGAGATTTATTGGGTTGCAGTATCTCAAATATTCTCGGTATCCCCCAGGATTGCAAACCCCGGATTCCATACCTCACATGTTCGACCACCACCATTGTATACCCGGATCTGCCTGGAACGTCGAAGTTCAAATAATCGCCCTTTCAGAGAAGAACATGCCTATCTATACCGGGGCGCCAAGGGGCGTTCATTATGAATAGCCCCTTGGAGGTCAAGGTCATTGAAACCATCCCTTGTGGGTCCTGGTATATACATATTATAGACGTCTTAGACTTATCCTGCAACCAGGCGGTGTCCACCAAGCAGGCTTTTGGTGGTGGCGAGCTTCAATCGGTCGATTTGAAAACATGCGCTGCATCCGGCAAGCAATGGCAACATTTACTTAGACTTACCGGGTGTTGACGATCCAGGTATGATGGCGTCAAGCTTCTTCAAGAAATGCACTGGATTTGTGAACGACATCCATGGTACCATTAGAACAGTTGAGGAGGGAATCGGACTGTTGCTGGGATGAGAGATGGTGAGGCATGAAACAATAACATGCCTGAGATCGTCTCAAACGACCTGTTTCGTCAGCACGTCCGCGCAGTCTTCCGATGTGGAAAATCAGGATGAGGTGTGGTAGTTGCAGCTGTTATAACTTGTTCTAGCATGTTGGAGCCTGAAAAGTGTTCATGAGTGTGTTTGTGTGCGTTTTTTGCCATGCACCTTTGCGGTGGTTTTAGACAGAAATTGCTGAGATGGATGTCCGTTTTAGTTGCTGTGCCCAAAACTACGAGCGCTGTTTTGTGCTCACAAGCCAAACCTGGGTTTCAATCGGCTTTTATTGCCACTGCAAACCAGAACCTCAGACTTTACGGCATCTTGCTGCGACTTGCAGGGGCAAAGGACCAGTGGTTCCGAACGTTCGCACTTGTAAGAGCGAAGTTTTGGCGTTTCCAGATCCATATGACTATCATTTGGTGAAAGAGTTGAAATGCAATTCCCAATTCCTGTTCCACACCATAAAGAATCTTCAAGGTTAACGTTCAACACAATCACACTCCCCAAAACTAAGAACAACACCTCTTGGAACTCTCAATAACTCAATTTATAGATTTATTAATACAATGCCCTGGACATTGCATAGCAATGCTCTCATCACTAGGTCTGCACCAACCAAACAGTGGCACGTGCATGCGCGAGTGCCGCGCAGCTGCACATCCAAGTCTGCCATCCACCCCAGCGTCCGACTGGCCACACAGCTGACATGGTGCTCCGCGCCTTCTGAAAATCCTTCACCAGGCGTTGGATTCCTCTGACCGATTCCTTCTGCGCCACCACACGCAAGGCCTCCAGTTGACCCACCCATCCCAATCCAGTCAACAAACTTATGCAACATCCGCTTGCCCTTCATTCCATTCTCTCCAGCAGCCGTGGGGCCCCACCAAACAGCTCGATCCGACACATCCCGAAGAAAAAGCACCGAAAAAGCGGTCTGTTCAAAGCGGCGGAATAGATTTCGGCTGTCCATCGGTCCGAGGCCTCCAAGGCTTCCAAGACTTCTTGAGCTTCCTCCGGCCTCGACCGCTTCGAGAAAAAGCCGTTTGGGAGAAAAGGCGGAGCTTCCGATGGAGAGTTTTTGGAGAACTTTGGAGCCAAGGAAGGCTTCGGCTTCTTAAGGAGCCATTTTGGAGCCAACAAGTTCTGTCTGGAAGTAGAGGCAACTAGGATTTCAACCAATCGTTTTCAAAGAACTTGCCCTTTTCTTGTGGCATGGACCTCGAAAGAGGCGCATGGACCTGGTGTCGGTCTGACATTGGGGGGGCCAATGGGTCTCAAGATGGGCCAGTGGGTCGGACTCTACCTGCCACTTGAAGTCTTGGAGTGCCTTTCTTTTCTTTCAATGCATGCTATGTTCCTCAAAGACATGGCAGCTGGTAATATCCTGTAATATCTCAATGTCAAACAGCGGGTTCCCATTCCCAGTGTCCTCAAATCTCACATCACCCCCACCCCCAGCTCTGCATCAAGCGCAGCTCTGCATCGCTCCAAGCGACGTCGAAGGCCCCGGGATAGCCACATCGCTGGCTTCTGGCCACGTCGAGGGATGGATCAAGATCGGTGTCACCACTGTGGCGTTTGACACACTATGAAACACTCCTGGCGTTCGTGAAAGTGAACCCAAAAGTGGCAACACCTAGGAAACGACCTGGCACGGCAAAACACCATGATCCTGTGCTGAAGCCCCAGAATCAAGGATTGAAAATGGATCATTGGCGGAACGCTGAGTCTTGTAGATGTGTGGAAAGGCCAATGTAGACTCCACTCTTAGTCTTATACATCGCCTGAAGAAGGCTGATTCTCTGGCCCAATCAGAAGTAACGCCCATACACCTGAAAATTGCAACTGTTTCTGTGCATGAATATGTCAATTATGTCAATTGTTCATTAATTTGTTTGAACTTGGAACACACGAACTCTGAACCCCATCTATCCGTTGACACGGGTCAAACATGCAAACATACCTTCTGAAGGACTTGATGACATTCCAAACGTTGGCGAGAAAGTTCTTTTTTGCAGTAAAGACATAGCTGGTGACCAATCGTAAGCAGTAAGCACATGCAAGAACATGGCCCTTTTGGACACCTCGCCAGTTCCACCTGGTGGTTCCACCAAGGGACCCAAAGCGCCCAAAGAAACCATGTCTCCGTGTCGACAGAAACCCAATCGAGGTTCATGTCTCGTCCATCCCCAACCAAACCGTGAACATGCGACATGTTGATCATCCCACCCTTTTGGTTGGCCAGCGGCACGGCCAACCGAAGGGACCGGGGGTCGAACAATGGGACGCAAGTTAGAAGTCTGCGCATTGGAAGTGATAAGCAATATCCAACTCCAACTGGGTTGAATCATATGTTTGGTTCCAAATGTTTCCCTTAGCTTGGTGGTGCTTCGGGAAAAACAAATGACAACCATACAAAAAAGGCGGTGGTTCCAGATGTTTCCAGCAAACCATAAACAGAAACTGAATGCCATGCCATTCCCTCAATCTACTAAGCACCTGAAATCTTGAGCCTCACTCCTTCCTTCCTGAAACCCTGCCTGAACGCACGTTCTCGAGGGCGCCGGAGGCATCTTCTGTCGCTTGTTCAGGGACATCATCCTCTCCTGGGCAGATGGAACTGATCTGATGACCTTAGGCCCCAGTGAAAGCATAGCCTGGAGCACCCCAAACCCTGCTGATAAAGAACCTGTATCCCCAGCTTGTCTGGTGATCATTAGGCATCCGGGAACCGGTCGCTGTGTCCAGAAAAAACTGAGAAATAGATTTACTGATGATGTCTGCCAGCAGGGACTCCGTGTGTGTTCAGTTTCGACATTCCACCAAGTCCATCAACGCCCCTGCAAACCTCGACCCGCCCTGGGAACTGCACTGTTCCACAAAGTTTGCATAAACCACCAAATTGTGTCAAAAGGTAGGGAAGGCAGGCTGAGGTGACAACAGTTTGATTTTTCTATTCTATACTATACATAATAAACCCAACAAATTGATAACAACGTCCACTCTTTCCTTGAATCTAGTTGTGAAAATTGGGAGGTTCACTGCATTTTTTTGCGATGAGTAAACCTGGCGGTCTTACCTTATAGATCTTAGTCCTAGTAGTATCTGCAGCAGGTATGCATACATACAGCATGAATGAATATTAGTTGAACTAGAACCTTGGCTTGCAACTGCTTGAATTTGAAACGTGATCTTGGGTCTTCTCATCGATAATCCCCAAACAATCTAAAATGAAATACGTCTTTGCTCGGAAGATTGCATGATTGCTAGAAGAACGCAAGTTGTAGATTAAATCATATTAGGTTTTACAATCCAAACGCGCGGTCTTATGAACCAAGAGTCTGAGAGTCTAATGCTAACAATTGTGCCCACAATCCCACCATTAATGGGGTCTCTAACGCAATGACAGTCACAGCTACAACATGAAACAAAAAGAGAGGTTCTTCTCTCCCCAAGTAAGCCACAGAGTCTGCCCCGTCCCGACGAGCACCCGCCCAGGCGCCCCGGACGTTCGCTAGGAGCAGGTTGCCGCCAAGAGTTCAATGTCGAGACCTTGGGGCGTCTCGACTCCGCTGAAGAGGCCTACCAAGAGAGGTTAAGTGACCTCATAGGAACCCACTAGGGTACCTATGGGCAGGTCTATAGGCTTCTTCAACCTGTGCTGGTATCCTTTTTGGCATCTGGAGCTGGCCGTATGGAGTTCCTGGTCGTGTATGGCAGCCAAGCCAGCCATTGGATCTCGCATGCGAGACAGCACGTAGGCGCGTGTGGAGCAAACCGTGCACAACGGATGGTGAAAAAGGACGAGCTGCCATCGCTGAAAACGAGTTTGGCAGCCCTTCGGTGAGTTGGTTGTGGGTGGGAAGCTCTTCAGGCACCTGTCAAGCATATAGGATTAACATAAAAGCCAGCTACCGCCTTATACTGCTACCTAATAGTTCTTTGGACTCACAGACCATAATTCCCAGCTGGTAGAGGTTCTTCAACTACCACCTGTCAAGCATATAGCACCTAATCTTTGAGCACCTCCTCTTTTCGATCTCTCTGGTTGCAAGCAGCCAAAGAAAAGCCCTATTTGTAGCCTGCAGAGTTGTCAGGCTTCTGAGCTTCCCAAACCAAATGGATGAGGTCCAGCTGGCCCACAGAGGTCATGAAATCCTCACCGGTTGGATATCACAAGTTTGGTTGCATGGTCGCAGTGCGCACTACCGGGGTAAGGGATCAAACAAAAACAACAATAGAATCAAACAAATATTCAACGGGGATCAATAAAAACATAAAAAGGGAATCAACAAAAAATATTCTAGCCCACTGAGGATGGTTGGGGTAGTAGGGGTAGTAGTAGTAGTAGTAGTAGTAGTAGTAGTAGTAGTAGTAGTAGTAGTAGTAGTAGTAGTAGTAGCATGAGTAGCAGTAGCAGTAGCAGTAGCAGGATTAGGAGACCAAGGGAAGAGGATGGAAGGAGTAGGGACTAGGAGAGTGTACCTCCCTAGGAGCTCCTTCCTAGTAGGGAGCTATTTCTACTGGTGAACCATTTTTCGAGTAGGTTACTCAATGACTGGACGGCTACCATCATTGGGTACCTACTTTCCTCCCAGGGAGCTGCCTCTAGTAGTAAGCAATCAAGCCTCGATTTGCGCAAGCAGGGACCAGGAGACCGAAAGACGAGCGGAGTAGGAGAGCAAGAGACCAGCGGACCAGGAGACAGAAGGACCAGGATGCGGACCACAGGACCAGGAGACCGGAGGACTAGGGGACCAGTGGACCCAAAGGACCAAGAGACCAGGGGACCAAAGGACCAGTGGACCAGAGGACCAAAGGACCAAGGGACCTTATTACCAGAGGACCCGCAAACCACAGGGCCAGGAGAGCAGCAGAAGAGGCCTATCAAGGAATATGTTTTTTTTGATTCGCCTTTTTCTTAATCAATCCTCTTTTTACTTTTTTTGATGCTCGCTTTACTTTTTTTTGATACCTATGCCGCACTACCGGACCTCAACAGCACGTGCCAAATCGCAGTGTGCCGATGAATTGAGAGAGAGAGAGAGAGAACTCCGCAGTAAGTGGTGAATTTTGCGGTTGAACAAATGCCATAAAAAAGCGAAACATAGCGAAACGCTTCCTGCATGGATTTGTCAGTTTGTGCGGCCTCACTCCAATGGATTCCCACCCACACAACCACAGAACCATGTGTACCTCCAGTGCCCTATACAACGGATCCAAATAAGAAACAGGTAATTATACTGAAAGTATATGCACGCATTCGAAAACGAGCTATAAACGGGTTGACCTCCCTCCAGCTGGATGGATCTCGATCGTCTATGTTTCCGTGTCGCCTCACCGGACCTGACGCAGCAAGCGGAGACGAGTTGACACAGCAAGCGGATCGGAGAGGAGTTGAAGCGATCTTGGCCGACGCAACAAAGACATGAAGGTCCCTAGAAGATGACCATCTCTCCCCTTAAGCATCTATATATCCTTTCTTCATGGCTTCAATCATCTTCAATCAGTTCTCTTACATTCTCGGACCTCTTTCTTGGGGTACCTATTTTCAGGTCTGCCCATGATCCATCTCCACCTCCCGAAACCAACCTCCGCGGATCCCCCCCTCCACTCTCTCGGCTCTCTCGGCTGGAGGTCCTCCAATGATCCAGCTCTCCTGGAGAGGTCGGTGAGGAAGGCACCCACCTGCGTCGCTGGAAATCCATCCATCCAATCCATCCATGAGGAGGCGACGCGAGGAGGAAAAAGCATATAGGAAGATATTGACTCCACTATTGGTGGGGTGCAGATCACATGGGAGTTAAGGCGTCAAGTGACATCAGGAATAGAGTAGGTATACATGTAGGTAGTATATGTGGTTGCTCTACTGAAGTGGCTGGACATCCATCCCCATTTCGCATGGCACATTCGACGACCAAACGCCCAGTTGGGCGCAGTGGGGCCTTCATCATGCCCAGCGGACGCAGCTGGCCCAGGCCCATTTGGTTCACCTCGGATCTCGGTCAATCCGTGGGACACCAGAGGAGTGTGGAGAGTTTCAACGGCAACATTCACAGTGTGGAGTTTCAATGGAAACACCAGCATCTATTCCACACTTGGGTGGGGAAACTCTCCAACTCTTTTTCTGCGTGAAGTTGGTGAATGGAGGCTGTTATTGATGTTCGGCCAAAGCAGCGCCATTAGCAGGACCAATGTCAAAGGACGGTGGTTGTTTCAGTCGGTGGACCACAGTCTGTGTGTTTCAACGACCAACGACCCACCCCCCTGGCAGCTGTACCATGCTGCGCGGAATGCATGGAATACGCGCACCTGCTCCATAAGCTTCACAAAGGACCTGGAGAACGGATCAGGATTTGCGGTCACTAGGATGTGATCTTCCGGGTGTGAGGTACACGGTTGCATCGCATTGTATGAAGTGATCCGACTGTCATGGTTGCATCCGTCCTTTCGTTATAGACCTGGCTTTTGAGAGAATGCAGCGACTGCCCACAGCAATAACCTCAGGTTCCCTACACGCGGGCAGGAATTGGCCGACCCATACGGCAAATACAAACTCCTATGGATATTGGATCTGCCAATTGCTTATAGACTGCAGGTAAGAATGTGACGTTTCATTTACAGTTCTCGGGGAGCATCAACTAGAACAACTTTTGTTTATATGCAAGAATATTTTAAGACGCAGTGGTGTCATCAATCTGAGGGAAACTCCAAGCAAATAGGTCTGTTGAGAAGCTTTCCTTCAAGTTCAATCCTTGGAGATAATTATCACCAATGAGGGATGTGATGGACTGCCAAGAAAATTATCTGGTCTTAAAAATGAATGACTCTGATGCAAGTACTAAAACGCACCCATTGATGCCATGTGACTGTGTCAACACACCAACCCAGTGGTCACCAACACGTTCATTCCACCCACGACCCCCAAATATGGGCCTGGTCCTATCAAAAGAGTGGTCAAATGAGCTCGATGTATTTCTTTTACACCCACCATATTAGTCTATTTTTCTTGGCTCTAAGAAGCCTTGCAAACCTGGCATCCAACAACCCGGCAGTGATGTTTCTTCAGACTGGATGTCGTGGAATAGAGCACAGCTCCCGCTCGTGTCTCGCACCGTTCGATCCTCGCCTTGCTTCCACCTGAGACACCGCGGAGCCCACCAGAAAAGCACCCCCTGGGCTCCGCGGTGAAGGGCTTTCCGAAGGTGATCAAATGTGATGCGGGCGAAAGAAGTCAAGGTGAGGTCAACAGTGGCAAATAGGAACTGATGATAGTATAGGAATGTATGAGGGATGATCAAAACTCTTGTGGAAAGATGGAATCGCGGTCTTCATCAACATATGTATGTATACTTTATATACTGCTGAGGTGAACCCGTTCAAAAGTTGCTCATGAACTTATACACACACGTGAAGGAAAGTGAAGCAAAGGCTCCAAGTGGCCAGAATGGACAACTCTGAACCCTCAAAGGGTTTTATCCACTTTTGCAGCCACTAGACCATCCAAAGAGTGAAAGAAAAAGACTGCACCCAATAAGTTTAACATGGAATTTTGGAAGACCAT